GCCACTCAATCTATGGAATCATCAAGCTCTGTTGACATTATTTTTTTTCAGGACGTGACCAAGACTGAATATATCTAATAACATTGAATATACGTGACATATTACTGGGTGCAAGCACCTGTTGAGTATACCTTGAGGTTGACAGAAGCACGTCGACCACGCAGAGGAGTTTAGAAATGCGTGTTTCTCCAGCTGATAATGACAATAAGTACGTGACACCTTCGTATTTAAGCACTGGGGTTTCTACATGCCGATATCAATTTCATTTTCGGAAATTCCAAGCTTTTTGTAATCCATTGATGCCGTCTCGAACAGGGTAAACACAACTTGTGACGATGTTTTCAATTTCTCTTTTCAAATTTCCGAGCTTTCTGGGAATCCACTAGTGTTGTCTCCGTAAGCACGTAAACAGAATAAACTCAACTTTAGCGACATTTTCAGGTTCAAAATTTCAAACTTCTTGGAATCCACTAAGTATCATTCGCCACTGCAGTCCACATGAATGATGAGGGCAGTTTTTAGATTATCAGTAAAGATCTGATTTAGTTTACTTCAAGGTTACTTTAAACGCAGTTTGTTGTATACAACAGTGTTTTCCTCAGTTGTAACGCCAACTGTCACTGCGAGGAGAATCCACTTTCTTTTCCTACATCCTGTTGTTTTCCACCCGAAAATATGTTCAGGAAGACATTGGCTGTCAGCACACAGTAAAAACAAGTCCTTAAAAGACAGAGACCTGTTTATCTCAAAGTCCATCTCCAACGTTGCTCATTTTCCTAAAACGTGGCCACTGGGAAACGTCTTCAACACCATGAAATTTCATAATAAATTCTTCTTCTATTTTCTTTTCACGGACAAGCTGTTTTCCTCGTTAGTCCTGATGAGAATGGTTCGACCGTGCTAATTCTCGTCGTCACTGATTAGTACAAAGGGCCAGCAGTCCAACACCGCTACCTATACTGGCTGAGCTGTTCTGAAGGCAGTTATTACACCATTGCACGCACGGTGACTGAAGGCCACCTTGCACATTTAATGAGTCTGCGGCAAATACTTGATTAAAGGAACGGTTTCCAACTATCGTGCAAATCTGTGGATCGATGAATACATTATAGTTCCCAGATTGTAAAGGGTGGTGTTTACCACGTGCTTGTAATTATAATCAAATATCTTTTCTATATGAATACATCGTTGTCCAGAAATACTCCTAAAGATGCTTCGCTGTCCACTTTACTCCAAAATAGGCGCATACATATTATCAGCAAGTTACATGAGTCTGAATAGTTGTCATCCCGCGGACTCGGTTCTTCTCGGCATGAATGTTTTATGTCCCCAAGGGAGGACGAACATGGAGGGTGCACAAGGGGAAAATCATAATTGTCCTAAAAAGATGAAAATGTCAATCCGAAACCTCCAAACTATCCGTGGTTCGATATATAAGAATCACACAAATTTCCTTAAGAAATCTTCATGATACACATTATGTTCTTCGAAGTCGCTTCTTTGCTTCTCACCACACCAAAGGTCTTACATATGTTGAAATTTGATTTTCACATATTATATGGTTCATATAGGACAACATAGCGATGACTAGAGTACTGTACCTAGTGATTCTGCTATGCCAATGCCTCTAGGCAGTTCCGGTGACCCAGTTTCTAAGCCCTTCCCTCCCTAATAACACCGAACCTATCAACCAGGATTCAAATCCTACGTTCACTGATTATTAATGCTGTGCTCCTTGAACCTTTGTTCCTTTGTTGTTCTTATGTTAGCTCCACTTGTCAGCTGCGTCAGAAATTAAGTATCTGGATCAGGTGGAAATGTGCTACCTCAAACCTGCTCTGACATACGTAATTTGGCTCAAATCCGATCTGAAGACCAAATCGTGCGTGGACAATCCGCCACGATAACGCTCTGGCTTGAGATTACAATCGCTGCGAAGCCATGCTATTACTTACCCTGAAGAGAAAATGTGTAGTGGTATACAAGTGGTGGCCATGGGTTTAAGATATCCATTTAACGTTTATACTTTTTCCAAGAATATAATGCCTCATATCCACAGTCAAAAAATATCCCGAATTGGACGTCACAAAGCGTCACACACGCAAACAGATGAAAAGCTGATAAAACTCGTAACGTGTAGTCCAAATCCTCACACAAACAATGAACAAATAAAAGGCTGTCAAAATCACCAACAAGTCCACATCTTCACACAAACAATGAACAGTTGAAAAGTAGATAAATAGCCATTGTTTGTCAGTCGATTTCCATTTATATTTAAATTCTTAAAACACATAGTTGATTTAAACGCCTGATAAAGATCAGACCCAAAGCCTGATAAAGATCAGATCCAAAGCCTGATAAAGATCTGATCCAAACATCCCAACCCAACGGTTTCTTCAAAAGGGGTACTTTAAACAGACTGAAATTTGTGTCATTCCGAATTCGTTAAATGACGTTTCAGTCCAATCCACATTTTATGAGTTCCTATGTCTCGAGGAATAGACATGTACGGCGTGGATTATACAGCTGCGTCAGTTCCTACGGGAACCCAACGGTTTCTTCAAAAGAGGTACTTTAAACAGACTGAAATTTGTGTCATTCCGAATTCGTTAAATGACGTTTCAGTCCAGTCCACATTTTATGAGGTCTTATGTCTGGAGGAATAGACATGTACGGCGTGGATTATACAGCTGCGTCAGTTCCTCCGGGAACAAGGCAATATACATTTAAGCCCGACACTTCTTCATTACGCCATTCAGGGGTGATTGAAGCTCAGTTACCTGCTGATCGATCGCCCCGCTTCATCTGGAGTAATCACCTCTGAAAGATAGGCGCAATTACGCCGTGATTGAAATGACATTGACATATCAGCAATTAACGTGTTTGATTGACGCTGAAATTGATTACATCTGAGCGTCTTATAATTATAAAGGTGTTCCATAGAGCGCACGCATGTTTTGAGTGAATAGATGTCTATTTCTGTTCATACAAACTGAGAAGCAAAAGAAACCTCTCAGTTGATTTGATCACATGTACTGGTATCAGCTTAAAAGACATCTATCGGGGTAGATTTGTATCTATTATAAAAATATTGTGGCGTAAGGAAAGACATGAACTTGTCTAATACGGAATGTGAATGAGGTGAAATGGCGTTTAACGTCGCGATCAAGATTATTGCACTTACATAACGACGTGTGGGTATGTGGTTGTGGGTGTAGGTGCTTGTACGAGTCCAGACTAATGCCGGTTTTATTGTGCTTAAACCCAGTGACAAACCTTGCCTCAGTTTTAACATGAATACCTCAAACACATTATACTGACCTTGAGCCGACCAGTCCTTGTTCTATCCACTTAAAGCCGAACGCAAGGCAGAGTAACAACAAGTATCATATTTTGATGTCTTTTGGACTCGTGAAGATCCGGGTTTGAAATGATCTTCAGCAAACCATGCTTGTCGTAAGAAGCGACTAACGTGATTGGGAGGTCGGACTCGCTAACTTGGTTGATGCACGTCATCTTATCCGAATTGTGATCGATGCCCGTGATGTCAGTCATTGGATTGTCCAGACTCGATTATTTACAGACCGTCGACATATAGCTTCTGTTCTCTGAAACCTTTTATACATATTTCAGGTTTACTCCAGATCCCTGTTAGCCACGCCATTCGTTCGATAGGAAATATGTACCTTCCTTCTTTATGTGAAAAACTAGACATATATTACAATGTAGTTCATCCAGACACAGTAATGCAGCTGGGCCACGTAGATACAGTGATAGTCACGTGAAGATCCGGGGTAGAATAGGTCTTCAGCAACCCATGCTTGCCGTAAAAGGTGACTACACTTGGATCGGGTGGTCAGGCTCGCTGACTTGGTTGATGCAGTGATGCAGCTAGGCCACGTAGATACAGTGATGCACCTGGGCCACGTAGATACAGTGATGCAGGTAGGCCACGCAGATCCATTGATGCACCTGGGCCACGTAGATACAGTGATGCACCTGGGCCACAAAGATATAGTGATGCACCTGGACCACGTAGATACAGTGATGCACCTGGGCCACGTGGATACAGTGATGCACCTGGGCCACGTAGATACAGTGATGCACCTGGGCCACGTAGATTCAGTGATGCAGGTAGACCACGTGGATTCAGTGATGCAGGTAGACCACGTAGATTCAGTGATGCAGGTAGGCCACGTAGATACAGTGATGCAGCTAGGCCACGTAGATACAGTGATGCACCTGGACCACGTAGATACAGTGATGCACCTGGACCACGTAGATACAGTGATGCAGGTAGGCCACGTGGATACAGTGATGCACCTGCACCACGTAGATTCAGTGATGCAGGTAGACCACGTAGATACAGTGATGCAGGGAGGCCACGCAGATCCATTGATGCACCTGGGCCACGTAGATACAGTGATGCACCTGGGCCACGTAGATACAGTGATGCACCTGGACCACGTAGATACAGTGATGCAGGGAGGCCACGCAGATCCATTGATGCACCTGGGCCACGTAGATATATAGTGATGCATTTGGGCCACGTAGATACAGTGATGCAGCTAGGCCACGTAGATACAGTGATGCACTTGGGTCACGTAGATATAGTGATGCAACTGGGCCACGTAGATACAGTGATGTACCTGGGCCACGTAGATACAGTGATGCAGCTAGGCCACGTAGATACAGTGATGCAGCTAGGCCACGTAGATACAGTGATGCACCTGGGCCACGTAGATACAGTGATGCAGCTAGGCCACGTAGATACAGTGATGCACCTGGGCCACGTAGATACAGTGATGTATCTGGGCCACGTAGATACAGTGATGTATCTGGGCCACGTAGATACAGTGATGTATCTGGGCCACGTAGATACAGTGATGTATCTGGGCCACGTAGATACAGTGATGCACCTGGGCCACGAAGATATAGTGATGCACTTGGGCCACGTAGATACAGTGATGTATCTGGGCCACGTAGATACAGTGATGCAGCTAGGCCACGTTGATACAGTGATGCACCTGGGCCACGTAGATACAGTGATGCACCTGGGCCACAAAGATATAGTGATGCACCTGGACCACGTAGATACAGTGATGCAGGTAGGCCACGTAGATACAGTGATGCACCTGGGCCACGCAGATCCATTGATGCACCTGGGCCACGTAGATACAATGATGCACCTGGGCCACGTAGATATAGTGATGCACCTGGGCCACGTAGATATAGTGATGCACCTGGACCATGTAGATACAGTGATGCAGGTAGGCTACGCAGATCCATTGATGCACCTGGGCCACGTAGATACAGTGATGCACCTGGGCCATGTAAATACAGTGATGCAGGTAGGCTACGCAGATCCATTGATGCACCTGGGCCGCGTAGATATAGTGATGCACCTGGGCCACGTAGATACAGTGATGCAGCTAGGCCACGTTGATACAGTGATGCACCTGGGCCACGTAGATACAGTGATGCACCTGGGCCACAAAGATATAGTGATGCACCTGGACCACGTAGATACAGTGATGCAGGTAGGCCACGTAGATACAGTGATGCACCTGGGCCACGCAGATCCATTGATGCACCTGGGCCACGTAGATACAATGATGCACCTGGGCCACGTAGATATAGTGATGCACCTGGGCCACGTAGATATAGTGATGCACCTGGGCCATGTAGATACAGTGATGCAGGTAGGCTACGCAGATCCATTGATGCACCTGGGCCACGTAGATATAGTGATGCACCTGGGCCATGTAAATACAGTGATGCAGGTAGGCTACGCAGATCCATTGATGCACCTGGGCCACGTAGATATAGTGATGCACCTGGGCCACGTAGGTACAGTGATGCACCTGGGCCACGTAGATACAGTGATGCACCTGGGCCACAAAGATATAGTGATGCAACTGGGCCACGTAGATACAGTGATGCACCTGGGCCACGTAGATACAGTGATGCAGGTAGGCCACGTAGATACAGTGATGCAGCTAGTCCACGTTGATACAGTGATGCAGGTAGGCCACGTAGATACAGTGATGCAGGTAGGCCACGTAGATACAGTGATGCAGGTAGGCCACGTAGATACAGTGATGCACCTGGGCCACGCAGATCCATTGATGCACCTGGGCCACGTAGATACAATGATGCACCTGGGCCACGTAGATATAGTGATGCACCTGGGCCACGTAGATATAGTGATGCACCTGGGCCATGTAGATACAGTGATGCAGGTAGGCTACGCAGATCCATTGATGCACCTGGGCCACGTAGATATAGTGATGCACCTGGGCCATGTAAATACAGTGATGCAGGTAGGCTACGCAGATCCATTGATGCACCTGGGCCACGTAGATATAGTGATGCACCTGGGCCACGTAGGTACAGTGATGCACCTGGGCCACGTAGATACAGTGATGCACCTGGGCCACAAAGATATAGTGATGCAACTGGGCCACGTAGATACAGTGATGCACCTGGGCCACGTAGATACAGTGATGCAGGTAGGCCACGTAGATACAGTGATGCAGCTAGTCCACGTTGATACAGTGATGCGATTGAGCGACCACTTCACCTGCAGCAATTCATCCACAACCACTAACCCCTCACCCGTATTCTTGTCACCAACTTTGGATTAAGTATTTCCCCTAATTTGATTAACGATATGTTTTTACCTTAATCCACCACGGTTGTTTATTCCCCCTTACCACACAGACATGTTCCTTCCCCGCGTAGATTAAATCACCTCCTGTAGGAACAAATGCACAGTACACAGAGGCAGAATAACTTCTTGGTCGATAGTGTTCCTTATTTCCATTAAACAACCATTGCATTAATAGTGATAACAATATCAGAGTCATTGACAAGATTACTCTAAACGTTGTGTTGGAAATCAAAGCAGTGTGGCTGTACGACCAGACCCTAACTTGAAACCTACGCTGACAGAGAATCTACCCGCACGTCACGCATGCTGATTTCCACTGTTTAAGACCGACTTGACAAGCTGTAGGTTAATCTGCTTCTGTGAGGGGAATACATGCAAGTCCTTCAACACTGTATGAGGTGAGATGAGGTGTGGTGAAATTGGGTTCAACGTCGCGTTCAGGATTATTGTACGTATATAGCGACGTGCATGCACCCGCGTGTGTGTGTGCGTGACTGTGTGTGTGCGTGCGTATGGCTGCTTGTATTTGTCCGAACTAAAGCCGATATTATTGTGCCAGCCCACTGAGATACCATATCGCAGCTCTACATGAATACCCCATTCAGACACGGTATTCTGACTCCGAGCTGACCAGTCCATGTTTTTACCCATTAATGCAGAGCGCCAGACAGGGAAAACAACAAGTACCATATGTTATCGAAACCCGACCTTCCGCTCTCCGGGCGGACGCTCTATCACTAGACCACGGGGCGGTTCAACACTGAATGAATGAATGCAATGGTTTAAAGAAAACACGCACGCACGCACGCACGCACGCACGCACGCACGCACGCACGCACGCACGCAAGCACGCACACATGCACGCACGCACGAGGGTGGTCAGGCTCGCTGACTTGGTCGATACATGTTATCGTATCCCAATAGCGCAGATCGATACTCAAGATGGTAATCATTGGATTGTCTGGTCCAGACTCGATTATATACAGAATGTCGTCATACAGCTGGAATATTGCTGGGTGCGGCGTCAAACAACAAACACACACGTCTTGTTTGACAGGACCAGCCCGTCCCTACAATTACCCCCCGTCCCTCATATATTTTTCTATTTTTAAGTACTGTTGGAAAACACATTTTGTTCAACCTAAATCCCGTTTTTGTAACACATTCAGAGTAGCTGTCAGATTAGCAGGGACGATTAATAATGGCCCGTCTCTTCGCACATCGAACCGTGACACGTTTCATATAATAGCGTATCCCTTGTACTTAATGACATAACAAAACAAAAAAATCAATTCTTTTTGGTCAACTCTTGTAATTAACCACGCGCACATGAACAAAATATATTCTTGTAAACATCGCAGTACACATTACAGGATACATTGTTCATTGGCAAACGAGTTGGGCACAGTCACATAACATTTACGGGGAGGTAACTCTTGTTGGTGTATGCATAAACTGGTCTCCCTGGTTTGATATATATATCTGTTTAACGAACACTACATGCCGTTACCATAGGCAAAGGTACATTTATACAATTAGGGGTACAAAGGCATCATTCTCGCACGTAGAATGCAAAATAATAAAGAAAGAGTCATATTGGGTTTGTTGTGAATGCATATTTTCAGCTAATAGATTCCTGCCCCCGTCGTGATGTTCCTTGAATATTGCTAAAGGTGGCATAAAAGCAACTCACTCACTCACACTTTGGCTGACATTTTATTTTTTATCTTGGACACGCCCCTATTATAATCCTTTTCTTCTCAGTATAGCATGGTGGGATTTATGCCGTAATGATATATTTTACTTGTCAGCTAGCTGAAGAAGGGTGAGGTGAGGTGAGGTGAAATAGGGTTAAACGTTGCGGCCAAGATTATTGCACTTATATAGCGTCGTGCATTGTGCATTGTGTGTGTATGTGTGTGTCAGTGTGTCAGTGTGTGTGTGTGTGTGTGTGTGTGTGTGTGTGTGTGTGTGTGTGTGTGTGTGTGTGTGTGTGAGAGAGTATTAGTTAGTGTGTGTGTGTGTTAGTGTGTTAGTGTGTGTGTGTTAGTGTGTGTGTGTGTGAGTGAGTGAGTGAGTGAGTGTGTGTGTGTGTGTGTGAGAGAGAGAGAGAGTATTAGTTAGTGTGTGTGTGTGTTAGTGTTAGTGTGTTAGTGTGTGTGAGTGAGTGAGTGAGTGAGTGTGTGTGTGTGTGTGTGTGTGTGTGTGTGTGTGTGTGTGTGTGTGTGTGTGTGTGTGTGTGTGTGTGTGTGTGTGTGTGTGTGTGTGTGTGTGTGTGGGTGTGTGTGGGTGTGGGTGTGTGTGTGTGTGAATACCCCACTGAGACACAGCCGACCAGTCCTTGTTTTGACCCCTTAACATGCTTAATGCCGAGCGCCAGAGAGGGTAACAACAAGTACTATCTTTTAACGTCTTTTGGGGTATGATGCGGCCGGGGACCTTCCGCTCTCCGTGCGGACGCTCTGCCACTAGACCACGGAGGCGGTCTGCTGAAGGAGGGGGGAGAGAGGACTTCTTTGGTCGTGTGATGTGATCCCTTGTTCGCGAAAAGGCAAGCATGTCCTCTTTCTTCTCCCTCTCCACTCGATGACCCTGCGTTACTGACGTTCCGGTAGTGGCCGCCACACACACAATTTTGCATACAAATTAGTTTGAGGATGCAAAAGACAGAAAAGATGCAAAATAAAATTACACATTTCTTTTGCAATAGAAGTTTAACAAATAATAATAACATGTCGAATGTTTTCTTCTTCATGATCAAATAATTCCCACAATGTTTGTCATATTACCTTTTCCGTCCAGCCAGCGATACCTTTGTAAAACCATAATAAACATTATGTTCCACACCCGCGTTTGACCACGTAAATACAACCGTTATGTCATAAAATACAATTAACATGAACAATGAAAACTGCCAATTATTCGCCAAAAAGAATGTTCAGAATAGATGACGAATTACCTGTATGATTAAAGGGGATGTGAATGCTGTGTGTGCGACAATCAAACTGCCCACTATTTGTGCATGCCACAATGATCTCTTATGAGACGTTATTTGCAATCATGTTTTCTCGGCATGTTATTTTTGCCGTTGTTAGGGGTGATTGGTGTAAATAATGCCCCGAAGACGTCAAATTATCCCCAAAGTAAAAATAGTTTTATTGCAATTTAAGCATACGTTAGATGTTAGCCAGTCTCGCATATTCGTCACCGCTGGAATCCTTTTATAACTTGGCCTATCGGCAGATTCAATATCACGATTGACAATTACGGTGCCGTAAAAAAAAATCCTTTGGCATTTTAAATGCATATGAGTCTAGCAACAGTGAAAATGGCAATTTCATGGATGGTACATGTAGTTTTCTATGTTTATATTGTGAGTGAGTTGGCTTTAACGCGGCTTTAACAGTATTAAATTTAACTTAATGTGGGAGGAAATGGCAAAGACGTTTGTACAAGACGTTTACCTCTGTGTGATATATCAAGGCGAACGCTGGATTCAAACCTACGATCATCGGATCCTGGCACACCTAAGAGACGCAACTATGCACAGAGAATTAGGGCAACTTAGATGATCGAGCCACGCCTAAACCATGAAGTAGAAGAGCAATCAATATTTATATTTCGGGTGTTTCTAAGTGTGTTCTTGTCGGTACTGGGCGGCGGGGGTAGCCTAGTGGTTAAAGCTTTGGCTCGTCACACCAAAGACCGTGTTTAATTCCCCACATGGGAACAATGTGTGAGGCCCATCCCTGGCGTCACCTCAGGGATATTGCTGGATATTGCTTAAAGCGGCGTATAACCATACACAGTGACTCTTGTCAATTGTGCAAACGTTATTTACTTTTGAATTTAATCTACCCCAGCACACATAACAAATACACCAATTCATATATTTACGCCCTGTCTATTTAAACAATTCACCTTTTTAATATTTGAATCAACATATACATATATCCGTCATACAAGTTTCTTTTATGATATCACTATATATCAGTTCTGGAGCATGCCTTATAACAATCTTTTGTTCAATATTTCATTCACAGCATGTATGCTGTCAACAGGCCTCTATCACACTGTGGTGATTGGCATTGTTGAAACTTCGTTCAATTTCCCTTATGAATACGACAGCTAATAGAATAATTCCAAACCCCCTTATGAACAAATAACCGACTGTCACGCCGCAATATCCCTAAGCCGAACAAGCCCACTCTAATATGATCTTATATATATTCTTTCATTCGCCAGCCTGAAATTCACCCAGTTAGACCCTCTTGACAATGTGGATATTTCAATTTCTATGTCAAAGCCACACAAGACTACGCTTTCAATGCAATGAATTACACGGCATATACCTCCCGGCAGTATGAGCATAAACGTCAATGCTGATTGCTAACAAAAGCAATAGAACGCTCGCACTTGCTAGGAAAATCCTCCCTTAAGAGTCTATAGCAATATAGAATTAAATGAATTTGTTATATATTACGGTCACCAACCACTAAGCGCTATAACAAAGTTAAACTCAGGGAAGTAGGCTTGGCGCTTCGAGGACTGCCCGTTGTGGGTTAAACAGGTCATTGTTCGTTGGACGAACTGGACATTCATACACACTGTAAAAGAATTCGAATTTGTTACATAAGTATATGGACATTGTATCTACGAACACGTGAGCTGTTGAGTAACCCGATTATGACTGATGCGTGAAGTCTTGTGACAATGAGTCTCTCGTATACCTTGTTGATCTTGAGCTGAAAATAAACTTTATGGAACTTCAACTTTGGAGTTTATAATTCTGGATGGATAAAAGAAGTGCATTTATGATTTACGGGCTGGTTATGAACAAGATATATCCCATGTGAAGATTCCACCTAGAGACATATACGTATATATCACACAGCAAGGAGAAAGCGCGTGATCATCGTCCATCGTTATATGCAGATCTGCAAACACCGATCTAATATTTGTGATCAGGGTATGTGAGAGGAGCCTATCTAGGCGGAGATGTTTGTTCTGGAGAAGGAAAAGTAAACAAAACTGTGTTCTTTTCTGCCCTAGAACACAACTGATATCATGTGTCAAGCAGATCGGAAATAATACCACCACCGACTGGGTAAATACTTTTGTTAATGTTCACTGAGTTCCTGTAGTTATTGGATTATGGATTAAGCCTTCGCGTTTCCTAAGAGCGTTTGCAGTGACATACGCGCACCGTAATAGACACTCACACATAGAAACCCAGTTTAAATTTGTTCGTGATGTTTGTGTCGCAGTTCTTTAGAGTCACTGAAGTGTGTGTAAGAGTTATAAACAATCTTCGCGAGGTTAGGCTAACACACATTGGAAACCTACGAACCAAAACCATGTTATAATTCTGGCCTGGTATGAACGTTGAAACACTGACGCCAGTATGAGCTTTTACAGTCATTCAGTCTCAACTCCAAGGACAAAACGGCAAATAGAGAGCGATTTGAATCTTGTCAAGATGGCGACAATATGTGGATATCCTGGCGCTTCAACAAAATGTCTTCCTTTTATTCATTCCAGTTTTTCACCAGGTCCCAAACCTCTCACTGCAAGGAGTTACACGTTTATGCATAAACGAGAGAAAACTGCGATCTCAATGGACAAGGGACATTCAGATGAAACCGGTCCCGATGTCGTCTGCTACGGCAAACCGGAAGTGTTACATCTTCCCGATATCCCACTTCCATCTGACGAGCGACGATCTCCTCGGCGGATTGGCAACAGCTACATCCAAAAGAACAAAGTGTGTTTCAGGTTGAAAGGAATTAACCCTAGCCATGTTTATTCAGTGAATAGAATCAGGCCAAATGTGTCGACTCCACATCGCAATGGAGCAGAATGCCTGACGGTAAATTCACAAAAGTCCTCTCTTTTCATGGGACTAAATTCCAGTAATTCTTTAAACCTTGCTTTAGACTCAATTGCAAAGGCAACTTTACAAGGAACATTTTCAGATCAGCTAGAAAGGGAGGTGTATTTAAATGGGACTGTCTCACCAGTTAGCATGGCCCTGGACCTGAAGCTGGAACAGGATTGCCGCCATGTTATCCCTGCTCTTACTCCTAGAAAGATCCGAGGAGGTAGGAGGCTGGGGCATGTTGTCTCCTCAAGAAGACTCAATGATCTTATTCAAAATGACACACGCTTTAAAACAGAGTGTCAGGACTGACCGAATACAACAGTTTTCAGGCGTATACTCCTGTCATTCCTCCGGGATGGTATTGTTATACTGTCATATTCTAGACGTAAGTTTGGAAGAATTCAAATATTATATGTTTTAGATATGTTTCATGATTATTGGAATATTCTGTGAAGCCTCGTTAACTCGAACTCGAGATCGTGTAATGCTATGTGTTTAATGACCTGGCAGAATGCTTTAACGCACAATAAACGCATATTGGCAATCCTATCGATATGGATATTCGTTGATACCCATGACTTCGTGATTAAGAAAGGACTTACTGTGCATTATATTCTTTAACATTTTAATCCTCATAGCCTCTTTTTAGAGAAGTGCGATTTTGGATATATGTTGGAAAAGAAAACTCCTGACTTCGAGTTAAAGATGATGCACACTGCTTTGAGAAAAAACATCATCGCAAAAGATAATCTGCTTATACTGTACATAGTATGCTAAAACAAACGCTGTGGATATATTGGATTTGTGTGGTTCACTGACAATATTGACTCAATGTTGACAATTTCCCTTGGGAGTATATGCATGGCGTGACTGTGTGTATTGACCCCGCTCCCGTATATGTCATTACCCATGGTTTGGCATCAAAGAAACTGTGTTGTGTTTGATTACATGGCGATAAGACAAAGGGAAATGGTTTCATAAATGTAACATGTAACCTGTCTGCGTCAGTGTGACCATGGCAACACGATGCATGGCGAGGATGTGACGTTTTGTTGCTGGGTTATCCCCTATATATGCAGAGGCTGTTTAATGGTATATTTAAAGAAACACTTTTCTGATTACATTGGTGTGACATATGTATCTTTTATTACAGCGCTCATTGATGGTTTTTGTCTCAAATGCCACGAAATTCTATTTTTTCAAGATACTCTTTAAATAAAAATTGTATTTCTATTGCTGGTTAGTTACTTTCTTTGGTTAAATACAATATGAAAAAAACAATCAAAATGAGGCATTATCTATCTATCTGTTTGCAATAAAAAACCAGGTGAAGACTCCTGGTTAGAATAGGTCCACAACAATCTATGCTTGTCGAAAAAGGTGACTAAATGGATTGAGTGCTCAGGCTCGGATCTCTATAACATATTAGTGACCCGAGACAAATTTTGGTACAATTTAACACATATGGGGTTAAAGCAGAGACCATATATGGTATCTGGTTTAAGGAACAAATGTTGCCTCTTCATACGCCGATATAACCGTGTACCCAAGAAGCCGAGTGGTGAAAGTGTTCTCTGAACACGCATTTTATACAGGTTCGATTCCACACATGGGTACACTGTGTCAAGTGAAGCCCATTCTTGTTGGCCTCCATCGTGTCATGACTGGTATAGTGAAAGAAGGCATTAAAATACTCACTGACTATTTTACTTAAACATTGAACTCTTGAACAGCCTGTAATAACGTAATAGATGTCGGTGTTAATGTGATCTCGAGATAAGAGGAGTCCCCCGCTGCGATCCTTATACACAAGATCATCATAATCCTTCAATACTGGGCAACGATCGATTGGCTCACAGCCACCGAGCCCCACACTATGTACCCTCGATGTGACTACGACACTGTACAATCTCCCTGGGGTATCGTCCCATGTATGCAAAGCTGTTGAAATTATAAGTCAGAGGGTTACTCAATCTCTTTGATAAAACGCATTAGTGTCGTCGGCTGCCAAATATCTGTCAAGAGGGGATATTGTGTAATTGTATGTCTGTCAAAGGTGATGGAAAATAGCAGTGTTGTTGAAACTTTGAATGGTTTAATAGGATCTTTAATGTCACAGCAAAAGTGGTTGTATGTTGGGTTCAATGGTATTTCAACAGGGCTGTTTAACGGAATGCGTTCACCTTATGGTATTTGGTGTGGCAATTTTTCAGTAAGGACACGACACAGAATATGTAAATATGGGCTTAATACTTCCACAGTACCCCCGGGGTATCACTGGTATTAAAATATTTCCAAGAAACTTGGACACTGCATCGAATGGGATTCAATTGGGAAGGGTATATTTTACCCAGTGCCATTCCACAAAATGATCTCAACACGACGACTGAATTTTCTATGCATGATAGTTAGTGTCAGTCCTAAAATCGCTTTGTGGAACGGACCCGGTTCTGACTACAGGGTGTAACTAACAGAAGTAATGTAGATGTCGGATTATGTGGTATCGCTGTTTAACCAATATAGTCATCTTACACCCGAAAACAATCACTAACATTAATCTGCTGAGAAACTGTCGGTTTAAACAGGGGTCGGCCTGTCCAGTCCAGTAGTCCAATGGTTATGAAATAAGCTGTGCTCAGAGCGTGAAATCCTGTTATCCGAACACGGTCGTTCCTGGTGAAATCTGGGATTATACATGTCATTGTAACACGGGGGTGTTTTGTATACAGTGAAACTTCGTTTGTCCGGACGCCGTTGCTCCAGAAACCCCACAATATGGATGGCTTAATTTGGAACATTTCGATACAATTAAAGAGTCATAATATACATACCCATGATTCCTTAATTCGGATACTTGCGAACGGAACCTTGCGGTATAACGGAGTTTCATTGAATATGGCAACAACAATCTGTGTATCCAGTCATAACCAGTATACGTAATACACCCGGTATTAATAGTGAGAGATTAACCTACATATAGAGAGAAACTATGTACAGTGAAACCTCTTTAACCCGGACCCCTTTGATACGATAGCCACCTGAACAAATGCTGATAGGAACGTCTCTAGTAGCTTTTAGTACAATTACAAATGCTTCGTCAATCCGGATATATCAAACACGACGCCCCATGGGGTGTCCGGGTTAGAATAGGTCCCCAGAAATCTATGCTGGTTGTAAAAGGCGACCAAGTAGATCAGATGGTCTGTCTCGGTGACTTGGTTGATAGCCAATATCACTCACTGGATTATCTGGTCAAGACACGATTGAGAAGCCGCCGTCATATAGCGGGAATACTGCTGAGTGCGGCGTTAAACAACAAAACAACCAATCAACAAACCCGAAGAATTATTATAAATGACTATAACTTATAACTATTAATAATGCTGTGCTCCATGTGATCTGGGGGCACGGGTGGCCCAGTCGTCTAAGGCGCCGCGATTTGCTGTGCAGAGTTGCGCCCCCTGGAAACGCCAGAAACCTATGATTGTGGGTCCGAATCCCGGTTCACCCCGATTATGTTTCTAGGTTTGTCAGCACCATACCCGTGCTCGTGGGTTTCACCGAAGTGGTAAACGTCTGAGACCTGCATCACTTCGGGCTTTCCTCCCACATCAAGCTGACACGCCGTGATATAACTGGAATAATGTTAAAAGCGGCGTTAAACCCAACTCCCTCATTCACTCACTCAATGTGATCTGACAAAATAGCAGACATTTTAGGGGCGTGTCATGCAGCATTGTTACCGTGTGTAGTCAATCAAGTCACGAAGTGTTCGAAGCGCTCGTGAAATGATCAGTTACATGTTGACAGTTGAAAAGTGGGAATACACGCGCCAACGGTAACAGTACTATTATTGTTTTGTTTATAAGTACCTCGAGTATGGCGAATTGAAAAATGAAATAGAAAGTGGGTTCTCCGTGTTCATTCGGGAGTAAAAGGTCGTTAAACATATAACCTTTCAAACTGTTTTTTTTTTTATCCCTACATTAAAATGATTGGGGTAAATACTAGCATCCCTACATTAAGTTGAACGAGTAAATACTTGCATCCCTAAATTAAAATGAACGGGTAATTACTTGCATCCCTTAATTCAGATGAACGGGTAAATACTTGCATCCCTACATTAAGTTGAACGGGTAAATACTTGCATCCCAACATTAAGATGAACGGGTAAATACTTGCATCCCTACATTAAGATGAACGGGTAATTACTTGCATCCCTACATTACGATGAACGGGTAGTTACTAGCATCCATACATTAAGATGAACGGGTAAATACTTGCATACTTACATTCAGATGAACGGGTAAATACTAGCATTCATACATCAAGATGAACGGGTAAATACTTGCATCCCTACATTCAGATGAACGGGTAAATACTTGTATCCCTACATTAAGATGAACGGGTAAATACTTGCATCCCTACATTCAGATGAACGGGTAAATACTAGCATCCGTACATCAGGATGAACGGGTAAATACTTGTATCCCTATATTAAGATGAACAGGTAAATACTTGCATCCTTACATTAAGATGAACGGGTAAATACTTGCATCCCTATATTAAGATGAACGGGTAAATACTAGCATCCTTACATTAAGATGAACGGGTAAATACTTGCATCCCTACATTAAGATGAACGCCATTAAGATAAACAGATAAATACTTGCATCCTCACATTAAGTTGAACGGGTAAATACTAGCATCCCTACATAAAGATGAACGCCATTAAGATGAACAGATAAATACTTGCATCCTTACATTAAGTTGAACGGGTAAATACTAGCATCCCTACATTAGATGAACGCCATTAAGATGAACAGATAAATACTTGCATCCTTACATTAAGTTGAACGGGTAAAAACTTACATCCCTCCATTAAGATGAATGGGTGGTTATGTTACGTGGTTGTTAAAGTGGCATCATATCCGACGGCATCTGACGACGCTCATGCTTTCAATCACTGGTAAAGGATTGATACTTATAAATAATTATAAATATGTCATAGTGATGACAACAGCCTCAGACAGCAAACAAATACTTCTTTTTTTTAGTTAAAGTCACTTGGTACCTAATTTAGTTGGGAAATTGTAGCTTAAAAACTGCGAAGCAAATTTCATATACTTTTACCCATTTCATGACCAAATATAGTAGTCATTGAAAACTTGAGTCTCTTTTAAATACGAGATTACGGATCACACGAACCACTTGTGGACACTGCCATTGATTAAACGAGAAAACACGAGCGAGTGCATTTAGTCAAACAACTGCTTATCAGCCACCTATGCGTCAGAAGCTATTTAATCCCTTATGTGCATCTAATAACTGTGTACCCATGGCGAATGAGAACATGTTCGATTAACTAACACTCCGGCAGTATACAAGCCTTGATTACACTTATAGATATAACTATACACCTGGAAAATAATTAAGCACTACTTACCATATATTTCCATATCAAAATAGCCTCTATACATTTTCTGAGACCATTCATCAATCGATGAGGGGTGGGGTGGGTGGTAGGTGGCATAAATCTGTCACGATGAATCATAAGCATTTCTTTTATTTGTATATGGCAATGCATAGGAATAGTTCATGTGAAAACAGCACCATCCCCAGCCTGTCACGTGACATGCCCCAGTACTTGCTGCCATGTGGAGGAACATAGTATTACGTTATCAGTGGTGCCCTGGACATTTGTCCTTAAGATACATGGAATTCAGAGAAAAATATGAAAAGGGGTGGTGCTTAACCTTTTTCCAGCTGTATACATCTGATACATCTGAACTACAATAGACGTAATCAACTCTGAATGCACCTCGTTAGTCCGGACCCCGTCAGTCCGGAAACCTCATTATCTGGAGTGAGTGAGTGAGTATGGTTTTACGCCGCATTTAGCAATATTCCAGCAATATCACGGCGAGGGACACCGGAAATGGGCTTCACACATTGTACCCTTGTCGGGAATCGAACACGGGTCTTCGGCGTGACGAGCGAACGCTTTAACCACTAGGCTACCCGAAAGCCCCTTACCTGGAAGATTATTGTTGGTACCGTTAATATACATTCAAAGGGACACAACGACGTACGGATTATTCGTTAGTCCAGAATTTTGTTAATCCGGGCGACTTAATTGCGATTAGGCTTGGAAATCGTGACCTTTATATTTGAAAACTTGTGACTATGAAATAACCGTGACACGAGGACAGAACCATGACATGACATGTCGT